TAGTTGCCTTCATGTTCCTGATTTTGAAGAAACTGATACACGTGGAGTGCAGTTATCTGATAATAAGGTTACATTGTCAAACTAAGGTGACTTTGGAAAAAAATGAAGTAAAACCATCTCTTGATCTGGCAACCTTACCTTATTTAGTTTTCTGCAGAGTGGCATTGCAGTGCAGCCTCGTCATGCTGGCAGAACCTTCCTCGCTTTGCTACTCTGTCTTTTCAGCCTGTGCTGTGCACTGTGGCAGCTGCTGAGCTCATCTCCACTGAGAAATGATACACAAACCCAATAGCAAAGACTTAATATTAAAAAAATGTGAAAATATCTCTTTATATCAGTTACATGTTGAAATAATAATATTTTGGGCATATTGTGTAAAATAAGATCGATTTCATCTGTTTGCTTTTACTTTTTAAAGTGGCTACCAGAAAATGTAAAGTGACATGTGGCTCACCTTCTATTTCTATTGGTGTTTCTGAGACACCCCCAGATCCTTGAGGAAGAATCTGCATGGTTTTTTTCTGTCTGTGTAATGGTTTTGCCCCCACTTCCAGGGAGTGAGGTGGTGATTACATTTATCTAGTGATACATGAATAATTGGGATCTTGTGGTTTGTTTTGTTTTGCTAGTGATGATGGCCAAAGAGAAGCCACCAATAACTGTCGTCGGAGATGTTGGAGGCCGCATCGCAATCATAGTGGTATGGTTACGTGTCGTCCCTCATGTGCGAAGATGAGCCTACTGGCTATCAGTCACTAGGTTGTCCACTTTGGGATTGTGTTTCTAGTAATGATAAATTTAAATGGATCCATCTATCCTTCCTCACCCAAACTCCCTCAGGACAAGTAGCAGAAATTTTTATATAGATAACAAGGATTAAAGTATAACCTACACATAAAATGAGCACAGTCCCTCCCATGAGACAGTTCAGCACATAACCGTCATCTTATGGGTTCTAGGTTCCCTCATGCCAGCTTACTTCATCACCCTGCAGCTTTAGGGCCACGAGCTGAACTCGACATGAGCTGTTCCATTTTCACGAGTAAGAACAGGTGACCCACACAGACTCATTTTGCGCTTTGGGCATGTGTTTACTGGCTGGAGGGTCACTGGTCCTTTGCAGTAGCTTACCTTATTTCAGTTTTCCCCTCAGGTCACTTTCTCTTGGGAAAAAAAATAAATGGGACACTGGCTGTGTGGGACTACTCAGAAATTTGAAACAGGGATATGAGTCTTGGCAGTCCTCAACTCTAGCTGTGACGTCACATGCGCTCGACTGTAAGGCGTCAGGGCACCTCTCTGACAGACACAACACGGTGCCATCAGGGCACTTCTGTTGCCATTTTTGGATGTTCCATCTTTGACCCAGGCACATAGTTCTGCTTCTCCACAGAATCCTTTGAAACCAAGTGCAGAAAAGAGCAGAGAGGTATGTGTCTTTACAGACTGGGATGGAGGGTGTTTCCTTCATACAGACTCCTGCTGTTTTCTCAGGATGACATTATTGATGATGTGGAGAGCTTTGTGGCTGCTGCAGAGATCCTGAAAGAGAGGGGTGCCTACAAGATCTACGTCATGGCCACCCACGGCATCCTGTCTGCAGATGCCCCCCGCCTGATTGAGGAGTCCTCTGTTGATGAGGTCTGTTTTTAAAGGGCTTGAGTCAAGATTTGCTGCTGTATTTTCTGGGAATAATATAATGACTCAGTCAATATTAAATTGCTTAATCTCTCTCTAGAGTACCTATGAAATGGTGCTTTTGCTGGCTAGCAGTTTGTTGGGGCAGATGTGTATTTAGAAATACAGACCATCCCCAAATTATGTTCAATTTAAGGATGGTGTGAAACCATTGCAATTTCAAAGTAATGTGCAGTATTCAATAAATTATATGAGCTATCTAACACTTCCTTATAAAATAGATTTTGTGTTAGATGAAAGTGTTTGGAACACATTTAGGGTAGGTTAAGCTAAGCTCTGATGTTTGGAAGGTTAGATGTATTGAATGCATTTTCAACTTATGATGGGTTTATCCAGACATAACCCCATCATAAGTGGAGGAGCATCTGTATATGTCTGTTTACGTAAAGATTTGCTTCAGTACTTTAATTTACACTGTGGTAGCATTTCTCTTAAGACTTGAATCCTTCCCTGATAATATGAAAGTTTGCACAGTGCTGGGGCTCACTGTATTTCTGCCTGTAGACCATGACATTCGTAGAACGTGAGTCTTATGTTCTGAGCCATGTAACTTTTCCCTTGCATAAAGTTGGTTAAGTTTAGTTTATGAAAACTATACTCAGTGGAACAAGGTTTTATAGTTTGGAGCTTAGGCTGTGGATACTACTAAATGTTAGATAAGCTTCTCTTGAGTGACCAGTTTGGGACACACATCAGTAACAGCCTTTCCTTTCTATTGCTGTACAACTAGGTGGTGGTGACTAATACTGTCCCTCATGAGGTACAGAAGCTGCAGTGTCCCAAGATCAAGACTGTGGATATCAGTTTGATTCTTTCTGAAGCAATTCGAAGAATCCACAATGGAGAATCCATGGCTTACCTTTTCCGAAACATCACTGTGGATGACTAGCTTTCACTAGCCTTGGCTCTCTGGAACACCTAAGGAAAACATGTAAAAAGCAGTGCCATCGGTTCTGTACAGTTATATGCAAGGGAGTACTGGAAATAGTCTGGAGTTAGATAGTCTCTGTCACCAAGATTGGTGGGTAGGAGGCATTCAGATAGTCAAGAAGAAGACAGAGCTAATAGATAAATAACATGGCCTTAAATGTCTGCCATCATCATCCCAGTTCCTTAAACAGAAGTTATGGCTGCTTTCCTGGAAAGAACCTGAAAATCTTGTTGATACTGAAGAGTTAAAAGCAGATAAAGTCTTCGCTCTGTACTGATCATTCACTTGCTTCAGCTGCAGGGAAGCACAGGTGTTGGTGTTGACCCTGGTTAGGGAAGCCGAGTGCCCGCACTGTTTCTGTCCACTTCACGTCTTTTATAGAGAATCCTGTTTTTCTTTCAGAAACCACTGTGCCTACAGCCATTAAACAATGAAGCATTCATGTTGTTACTCCCCCCAAGGACATCAGATTAGAAACTAGCGTCCCATCTCTGGGTATCCGTGTGACTCTGAAGTTGCAAATAAAAGAATTTGTTGTCTCCCTGGTGTCTTCACTGCACTGCAGACTTTCCTGCTCCACTGGATGGTGACTGTCTTATGTCCAAACTGTGCAGAAGACCATGGATGACAGAATAAAGGGTGGTCAGCTCCATGGCTGGTCAGTCTCATTCTCCAGGTTCTTTCCCCTTCCTGAGCATTGAAGTTATTAATCCTTGTTCAATAATATATTTAAAATCTAAATTTAAAGAAAAAATAGAACGATTGTCCTTTTTCCTGTGTGATAGATGACTCTCATGTTTATCGTATTATTAATACTTAGGGCCGCACTTGGCCCTTCCCAACATTTTTTTAA